ATGCAGTTTAACAAATAATAGGGCGAGATAATCTATAAATATCTCACTTCAAAAGCAGTGTTGTGCTAGTTACTGAAAACCAGTAACTAGTTACCATTACTAGTTACTTCATTTCAAAAGTAACTCAGTTACTTTACCGATTACTTACACATAAAAGTAATGCGTTACTGTGAAAAGTAACTTTTTAGTTACTTAGAAAAAGGGCTCCCATTAATGCCCTTATAGCCTTCATTTCAGTACTGTTATTGCATTGGAGAATAATACAATCTGTTGATCAACTTGACATGCATTATATGCAATCTGGATTGCATCGATATTAGCTGGCTTTCCATTTTTGTATATTCTTTCTCCAGGTAGTTGGAAAAAGTTTTCCGTCCCATATGCCGTGTGCCGCCTGGACATGCTATCATGCTAACTAGCTCCCTGAAAGCGGGTGACTCCACTGTAGCAATAGCCTGCATGTGTTCTACAACATACCGTGCAATGGCTTTATCGACTTTTCCCTGGCTAGCAGTCCCTTGGTTAAAATCCAGCCGCTGTTGCTTAGGTGGAGGTGGAGTGGCGTCGGCTGAGTCTCTGTGGTCTTAGCTACTAGCTTCGTCCCAGCATGTTGTTTTTGCAGATGTTTTAAGAGATTTGAATGACTGGTTTGGGCAGTAGATAAGATCTTTGACCCGCCAGGACACAACTTACATTGAACTAAAACGTTCTTTTCTTTGTGCTCGACAAAAGTGAAATAGTGAGAATATCTCCAGGTGGAGAAACTAGACTTGAGCTCCACCGCCGCCGCCATGATAGTCTTGTTAGTAAACAACACAAACACGCCCACAGCGCGTCTCCGCATGTGACACAGGAAGTATCTAAGTACATTTACTCAAGTACTGTACTTAAGTACAGTTATCATCTCTGTTCGCCTGGCTGTTGACTATATAACAAAAAACTAACGGAGTAACGCACCATGTAGTAACGGTAACTGAGTTACTGAATTAAAAAAGTAATGCTTTAGAGTACTAGTTACTGCCAAAAATAACGGCGTTACAGTAACGCGTTACTTTGTAGCGCGTTAGTCCCAACACTGTTCAAAAGTAACAAATCCATAAAAAATAACAATGTAGAGGTGTTGCAATTTCTCGACTATATACAGTATTTCTCCACTGTGACCTGACTGTGCATGTAAAACCTTTCAGGGTAATCATTATAAAACAGAAACATTGTGTTGTGGAATATTTTCCAAGGCCCATAACTTTGACCCAGTGTATCAGTTCAAACTGTCCTGACTGAGCACAGGCACCTGTAACCTTGGCTGCTGTGCTCTCAGTGTTTTGTCTCCCTGTTCCTGCCTGTTGGCGTCAGCTGATAGAGGTGTTATCATTCTATCTTGTTATGCAGCATGTTGATGATGCTCTCGGAACTAGCTAAATACATGGGTCTGGGGTAGAGTTCTTCAGAATTGACGTGGCAACTCTACCGTGAAGTCAGAACCTCTGACTCTTGGACTTGTGATGTGAATCCTCCGGCCGTTAACTCCAAATAAACCATCATGTGTTTGACATCAAAGCTACTGCTCTTCCCGTGTCTCCTTCCTGAGTCGGTGACTCCCACTGCATTGCTACACAGAAGTTTCCTCTACACATTGATTCAAGCGGCTGCAGAAATGTTAACAGTGTCAACTTTAGGTTTGATTAAACATGTGGCATATACCCACGCTTATTAACTGTGATCGCTACTGAATGCAAGTCAGTCACCTGGAAGAAAAAGCATGCGTCAGTGGAGGAAATAGGAACAGGGATCAAGCCTATAATTATTGTATTTGTGAAGAGACATATGGACAATGCTGTCAAATAAGGTTGTGAGAAAAAAAATCCACTTTAAAGGTTAGATTTGTGAGCACACTGTTCATACAGCACACATGGAGCTTGGTCTCCACCTACTGGCAAATAAAAAAGCAATGCCTTTAGAAAGAATGGGGGAAAGAGTCTCTAGTTTGTCAAAAACATCGACAACAGGATAGTAAAATAGACTTTGTAGCCAAAATTGAATTAATCACATTTTCAATTTTGGCGTATTACTTTAGCCTGCAGTAAAATATGACTTTGCTTAGACTCAGCACACAAGCCACTTCAAATGTCATCTTCACAAACATCTCTTCACTGCAGTGACACACATCACATAGAGACGCATCATGATCCCATTTTACTTTGTAATTAAAAGGTTTAAATCTCACTGAATATATAACAACTACTTTCAGAATAGTTTGGGCATAAAAGAAAGGAACTCTGAATCTTATCATAAAAACAGTGCACTGACCTCAGGAACATGTCTTGTGTTAAATGATTTCTTCTCTCTCAGAATGCATTCACACATTTCTCTCACCTTGAACACCACAATACCAATCAGAGGGAGAGGTTGGGAAATGCAGGGATTGTTTTTATTTTAGGAAGGTTTAACAAGCAATCAGCCTTGCTTATCAACAGCCTGAGGTTACAAGACAACAACAGATTTCAAGCAGATCTTTCACACCACACTCCCAGGGCTACGACCACATAAGAAAATATATATGGGAATACAAATCCCTTATGGTCTGCGAATGGCATGAACAGAACTACTTTTCCTTTATGAACTAGCATAGCACAAGTGCCACAGTATGTAGTCCTGCATTGTTCCCAGCAGCTCTAGCAGCCATTATAGAAATGTTCACACAAAATCGTTCTACTTTACCAACTACCTGACCTTTTCCTTTGACGTGTGACACATTTCTTTAAGTGTAACTGTTGTACCATGACAACGGTTTCTAGGCATTTTGGCCATAAAATAAATGAAATACCTAGCGGGACATGTCAATGCATACATAACGATACCTAAGCAATTATGTTTTCATTGTATAAGACTATATAAAGAAAATGTACCACTAAACAGGATGTCATATCCAAACTATAGATAGTGACAGAGAAAATCAATCTTGTGTATAAAATCATCTTAGCCAGTCCAGAGACAGCATACTAAGGGCTTTGAATGCTGGATTCAGGTGCAGTGTTCATAGTAAGCACATTTTCTTATGTCATTTTACCAGTGGAAGAGATTTCTTTGATTGGGCTGTCTGGGCAAGTAAACAGCTTGTCTTCTTTGCATTTGGCATTTCTGAACAGACGGTACATAACAGTGTTGCTGACAGGCACTTTAAGCCAGCATCTGTTGGAAAACGCGTGATCTAGCGTCTTTGGCATGACTGAATTAGAAATCGTAAAAGACAACAAACTCATATTATCCTTTAATATGACAATCATGAAGAAATGTCAGAGGCACTAATAGCTTTCAGCTAGGAATAGAACAGCCAAACGGGCCTGGATACAATCCGTCCGCATTAATTGCAACTGAATTTTCGATGGGGGATGGACATGCCCACCCTCATAGCAAGAGAATCAGGCAAGAGAGTCCAAGATGCCTGACTGGACGCTCAACAAACCTACTAATGATACAACTAAGTATGCTAAAAACCAACTGTCACAGACTTAAGGGAAATGTGCATGTTGGCTCGATGGCAAAGCTTCAGAGACACAGCCATAATTAAGATTATCAATATCACCTGGGCTTTATCCTACTATGACAAGGTCCATCAACGTGTTGTCATGCTTGAAAGGCCCTGTACACCGACACAGGTGTTTTTACTTATTCTGGCTTATTGGAATTGGCTTAGGTTGAAGTTAGGCTGAGATATGCCTGAATTACCAGGGGCCACCACATTTTTTGAAAAATGATAAAAGGTGTAATTCAAAACTATTAGCAGGATTAGGCCGATGTCACTCAAGCACTGTTGGCACGTTCCAGCGGCACACTCGTTAGACAACGGCTGAGTTAAGTGGAAGCACCTGTGCTCAATCAGAGCTCAACACAAACCACACCAACATGTTACAATCACTCACAATGAAAAATGCTGTTTTCATCACTGCTAGAGTAACTAAAAAGTTATATTAACATGGTTATTTACTTGATCTGTAAGCTCAGTATTGTCCTATCTTGTTAGCTACTTCACATGAGTTTATTGCCAGGCACAAACAGCATCAATATACACAGCAGCATACTTGATATATGGGTAAACAAAATAGTAAAGAGCAGCAAAGAAAATATAATACATGCCTGTTTAAATATGGTAAGTTATATATAATAAAATAATTGCAAGGTTATGAAAGCATGGAACCAAGCAAGGCATGTCAATATTCGCATTATTAAAACATATATACAGTATATAACCAGTTCAGGAAGAGACCATATTAGCAAAAGTGAACAAGACTGCATCTACAAGAAAGGCATTACATAAACCAAACAAAGATCTGAGTGAATCATCATCACTCTCTCAAGAACAGTGTTAAAAGTATTAATGATATCAACATGTCTGAATATGAGTGTCATGAAAACCATTCACCTCGTGTTCTCCAGTGATATAGCGTGTGCTGCACAAGTCACATCCAACGTTAAACTTTCAGCATAATTATGCAACACTAAATGTAATTTATTATTGTCAGCTTCAGTTGACTAATGTAACCTGCCTGCTATTTGACAAATTACATTCATTTTTATGCTCATCCTTGACATTTTGCCAGGAAACACTAACTGTTTGATATCTCTGATATATGACATCATCGTGGAAAACATGACCGGTCAGTCTATAAAGATTACCCAGTTAAAAGGGCTTTTGACTATCTATTATTTTAACAGTACTGCCTAATATGGATTATTGTATTATGACTGTCTTTATTTTAATCATACGTGCAAACCTGAGCTAGACTGCTCCAGGGAGAATAAGATGTACTACAAAAGTTGCTTTATAGATTCCATGTGTAAGAATGACTTGCAAAACAGCTTAACTTGATGAACATTTTTTTAAACAAAAGAGAAAAATTAGGGAATTATAGATGCATTTTCCTTTCAATTCTGCAATAAATAAACCTGATTCTATTTGTTTTATGTGAACACACAATGAGATATAAAGAAAATGCACTTACTGTAATATCCATACAGCACAGTGTCTTCAATGTGCCCTCTTGTCTCATTGTTAGCCGCCCAATCCTAAATGTTACCAAAGAAGGACCATGGTGAAAAATTAAAATCAAGTTAAAAAGTAAAAGGAATGAAGTAGGTATAATACTCAATGACATCAAGCTTACATTTAAAAAATTAAAAAAGAGTACAACAATGACTATAAGAAATAGTGTTATTTGAACACAAATACAGAAGGTGTGTTGTATTTTCATATATAACCCTTCAAGATAGAGGTATAAAACAAATAATGCATTACAAGACCCCTTTTCAGCGTCTTGGGTTCATTCAAAAATGTATTTATTGTCGAGAAACTCAAAGGACATACATGAATGCATACACAGACTTTTCCCTATTTTGTTAGATTGCAACATTTTAAATCCAATAGATTATGTTTGTAATTTAAGGATTGAGTCCCTGGTGAGCTAACATGTGCATCTTATGTTAGGTCGCCGTGACTGAATTGTACAAAAAACCATTAACAGCTAAAAGTAGAAAGCACCTCCCAACCCACTGAAAGAAACAATTACCTGCTCTTCAAATGAAGATGCCAATACACACTTTGCTATATCTTCTAGTAGATTGAAACAAATCCAATGATTTTGCACAAAATTGATGAGCCAAGAAATGAATTCAGCTTTTAGATTGGACTAAAACAACGTCCACTTTGTCTAATTCTAAGAAGATTACATAGCAACGTTAAAAGCTGCCTCAGGGAAACTCGTTAGCATTTCACAAATTGATTTTTACTGGCGCAGTTAGAAGAAAAGAGACTTACCTTATAGGTACCATTGGGAAACTTCATAAATGAAACAAGGAATATGTCCACGGGGAGAAGTGCAGAGGTTATCAAAGCAATGGCCAGTGCACATATTGCTGTGATAGTTGAAACAACTTCACTCTCCTGACGACTTTGAAATTTCCGAATGTAGAACCAACAAAAAGTCAGGATTACCTAAACAAGGGAAAACACATTATGTTAAATCAAGTTAAAATGATACCATCAGGAGGGATAGTAAATACAATATAAATACACTTTCCTTTTCGATTGGCAACACACTTAATAATGTATCAGTGTTGTGTAGTGCTATATTTCTATTGAACTTCATTATACTGTTTTCACAATATTGTGGCGTCTTCTGCCTGTTCAACAGTGCTTGGAAGCGATTACCTCCATGTGTGTCTTGATGATTGCCAAAAAGGAAATACTCAAACCAAGGTGTTAACACAACACTGGGGGATTATAAACCAGAATAGCCCGACTGCAGGTGATAGAAAAAACGATGATCTGATTATATCATAATCTCTTATCCTTTCAGCACAAGTGTGAATGTAAACTCACAATAATTGTAAGGACTTACAAGAAATAACACAAAGTTAACTTTTCATAGTTAGTTTTTTTAAACTTTGAATGAATGAATGAATTTGCTCATGTATTCTGTTGCAGTTCATTGGAACAAAGGGGGGAAGAAGAGGGGAAAGGGATTGTCCTAGTAACATGTAGGCAACTCAATAGGGACACAAATAAGGGTCTTCGAAATGACAAGGTCATATTCAAGGCACACAAGCTGTAGGAAGTGAGGACACTGCTAAAACTAGTCCCTTTAGATCAGGGGCTGCCATTCACAGACAGGATCAATTAAAGTCCAGCAGCCTTAAGCCTCTGGCTGCTTGTTTTGCCAGGCTTTGCATCCAAATAAGATCCACTGAAAGGTGTGTTCTAATAAAAAGGGCTGTAAGTAGGGGTGGGGACGCAGTATTGGCATCCGGGCATTCTCCTGGACGTCTTCTGATTAAGTCACGTGACTCTGAGTGACAGCTGAGATAATGGGTGCTAATTTGGGCAGCAGATTACTGAGACCAAGTTCAAATAAATCAGTTAAGTAACGCTAACGTTTAAAGTAGAGTGGGTCAAAATCTGTTTACATAAACGGAAAGGTTGTATGTGTTTGAAGAATATGTGGTTACAGCAGCCTTATTAGCTTTTCAAGCAGCACCGCCATGACATATGTGAAGCGCATTTTAAAACCATGTGGTGAAAACTAACTACGCATTAGAGCAGGTAGAAGCTGTCACCCAGAAAAGTTAAAAGGAGATTAATGTTGTGTACATTAGAACATAGTTGACAGCTATTTTCAAAATACTGCTGATTAACACTACCCCTGCTTTTAGTATGCAATTTAAGCGAATATAATTCTACATTGAGCACAACACAGCCTGTATGCTAAAGTGTGTCATGGCTAATGTTAGCTAAAATCAATCCCAAGCCAATATTGACGTTGATACACTGTAGCCTTTTCGTTTCGTAACCCCTTAACCACGCCAGTTCTTGACCTGCTAAAACATCTCAAAGTATTTTTATGACAGCTCACAACTTAATGAAAACACTACACGACTGAAAATATGCTTACCATAAGTATAAAAGTGAAAATAGACCACCCGAGCATAGACTCGGAGAGAAACGACTGACCCGCCATCTTCACTTCCTGCAATAACAAACCCACGTGATCCCGCTGACGTCATCACAGTGGAGGGCGAGCAGCAGTCGTGACGTGTCCGCAGAAAGTGCACAACGTCTGTATATACTATACCTCGATTCTCCACATGTATGCGAATGATTTTTACAGTAGTTTTATTGGTATCACACAGCTTCACCGGTGGTGGGACAGGACGGCAAAACAGAGGAGCTGACAACTTTAAAGACCAGAAGCTGTCGATAGCAACAGTACCATACAAAATACCATCTTTTGCATAAAACCAAAGATCTGGGTCAGCAATCCTCGAAGTTGTCGTTTTATTAAAAAAAAACACCATCAGTGACAGATGAAATAAAATAAAAGTAGTCATGCCATCACTAAAAATATCAGTTTTATAAGTTAAAGTTTGACTTTTAGAACTACAGAAGTATGATCAGAACATTTTTCTTAAATATGTCATATATTTCAAATTGATTATATCTATTTTTATAGCATATAATATTATAAACAAGTTTGGTCATTATAATGTCTAAACATAATGTGCAGAATAACACAGTGTAAGGTATTCCCTAAGGCTAAGCAATAGTTCTGCTGGTTCAATTTGTATGTGAAAGAGTTACCCCACTTTAGCTTATCTGAAAGGCTTTTTTTGAAAATGTTAATATCGATTTGGCATATGGTCCGACCGGTCAGCACCTAAGCAAACATTCAGTAATCATCCAGTCTATCCAGAAAACTAATGTGTTTTATTTCAGTTTTCAATTTGCTGAAAAGCTAGAAGTAGGTCGCTGTAAACTAGGTGCAGTGCACCTGTAGTTGCATTCCCATGTGTAGAGCAGATCATTGGGGTAATACTTGTCATCAATTATCCACCGCAGTGGCCCACACCAGTCAACAGCCACTGTTTATGGGGCTGAAGCTAATCCCCATATGATATTGTATTCCTCGTAAAAATTATATTGTTAACATGCCAAACTTTTCCATATTAGAACAGCTGTCCAAGCAGTGGCTGCCTAGAAGCCTGTCTACGCTTTCTATACAATTGACTTTTTCAGATGACTTTGTCTTCATACAATACGTATTTACATTAGGGTTATGGTTAATTTTCTTTTGGTCTCTCCTCTTTAGTTTGTCATTTTAATATTCTCTGTGATGTATTGCTTACATTTCCAATAATAAATATGCATAACCAATGTTTATTTTCTTGTACCTCATACTGAAAACAATGTTTTGGGCATTTCTTCTATATTCTGTATCTCGACAACAAGAGAGTAGATGAAAGTCTAAACTCAACTTGAAATATCTATTTGAAGTGTAAAAAAGTTATCCATAACTAGACCACATTTGACATTTTTCAGTGTAACATACTTAAAAGAAATAGAAATGACACTTTAGAGTCATGATATTATGTTTCATTCAGCAGGGGATCCAGACTTATTCAGCAATGGGATTATATAAACTTTTCAAGACTCTATGAGAAGTGTATCAATCAGCTTGGGTTTTTTGTGCATGCTGAGTTTCTACCCATTTGCCAGGCACATTCACCATTTCTTCCATTTCTTATCCAATTTATCTTGCATTCATACCCCATGGTATCTAAATATAAGGATTTTTTTTCTGGCTTTATATTCCACCTCTCACTTCACAGTTTTAAGTATGCACTTTCAGGAGAAGCCTACTTCATTCATGAAGTATGTTGTCCCTTAAATTACAACAGTATTAGAGTGTGCAGTCATGCTTCACCATGTCTGGAATTATTGAGACCAAATTAAATTATTACTCGAGTAATTACTTTTGCAAGTGACATTGAGGCTTCAAAGTTTCTGAAAGTAATACTTCTCTAAATTATATTGCAAGAAATTGGTCTGTTACTAATTTCAAATGAAGAACACCAGTTAATTAGTCGGTCACTATTGGACACTTTCAAATTTAAATCACTAAAATCAATAACCATATATCTAAACTTAATTTATTTTACTGTCTTTTAATTAGACTAATGTAATTAATTCAACCCATTATTCACATGCACAGGGGAGGTATAGGTCATCTTAATTCATGCAACCTTTCATAGGCCTACTGTAGCTTCATATCAGGAGGCTTGGCAATGTGCCCTAATGGGAATCATGTACCTTATAAGGCCTTAGCTGAGAAAAAGGTATGAAACATCCAAATTGTTGTCAATCAAGTAATGATTTGGGCTAGCCTAATAGTTATAATAGCTATAGCCTGCCGTCTAATTCCTCGGCTCAGCCGCCATCAGCGTCTGGCGCAGTTTGAGGATTGCTACGTCTCGCCGGTGGAGGACCCAGAGCTTGACGTGGTGGAGATGGAGGACCACGAGGAGGGAGTGCCCTTCGTGTTCGCCATACCAGCGGACCGGGCGGGTCCGCTCGTCGGGGAGAGGTTGATTGATTGATTGAAAAGTTTATTAACAGCTTGTATATTGGGTTCAGTACCAACCCAGTCTCACGGCATTTCGTGTTCACCAACACGATTTTTAATCTATTGATTCGTGTTCACCAACACGATTTGCCCCTTTTTTTCGTCTTGCACAGCACGATTTTAAAAGCAATGTATTTCTACTGCATGCAGCACGACTTTTTCTCCGGTCGGATGGTGGGAGACCGGAAGCTGTGTGGTTCATAAAAACATGTTCTTACTCAATATCAAGCCACAATTATTGCTTTTATTTTAAATCGTATAATTTCGGACTTTTGTTGCCGTCTGTGAGGAAAATAAATGGGGCTCAGAGCCTCAGAATACGGAAATCTGTATTTTTAAATATTTTTTTCCTTCTAATTCGTTATTCTTTTCAAAATAACACACTGTTATTTACTCACCAATAAAACACAATTATCCTTGCTTTTATTTATTGGTTTAATTCCATAATCTCGTTTTTTTTTTGGCGTCCGTCAGGAACTGAATTTCAAAATAAAAATAACCGGAAACAGATGTAGGCATTTCGAGCGATTACCCAAGATCCTCAGCTATGGTTTTAAACTCGCTTATTGGATGTTGTAGCCGCAATGCATGCTGGGATTTGGTGTTTATATGATATGAAATCCGGAAAACATTTTAAAAGAATAAAATAATACTTAATTCCGAGCGCTCTTGCTTTTCTCTTTGAAAGTCATCACATAACGGCATTGTAATACACGGTTCGGCTGCATTGTATATTACAGATCTGCCGTAGTTCTTTATTTATAGAGCCCTGATGAGAAGACCTTTGGAAAAACTGAGAAAATGCCGCCGAAACTGAATACTTGACGTGGATCATAAATATATTCAAATCGTGTTGGTGAACACGAATCAATAGATTAAAAATCGTGTTGGTGAACACGAAATGCCGTGAGACTGGGTTGACAGTACAGTACAGCTCAAAATATACAATTGTTAAGGGGATGCAGACCAGAGAAAGACTTTCGTCTTGTTTACATCAGGGTCCCCCATTTCCAATTCATCAGGGACGACGATGGCGACACCTCGTCGTCTGATGTTTCCGGCGACCGTCAGGAAGGCCAGCAGCACAGGTCTGCGCGACAGGACTTCCCGGCGTTGATGACTATGGCGGTGGTGCGTGCGGGCTTACCGCTCCCCACACCGCTGCCACCGAGGCCGGTGAGCCGCCTACGTCAGGGCTTCTACGGCCCGGCCCTTCCGGCGCAGCCGGCCTTCGTTTCACCCCCCCTGCCAGATGTCTGGCGGAGTGTGGAGGCGACATGTTTGTTTGTAGCCTTTATTTAACCAGGTGAAAGCCCCTTGAGATCAAAAGATCTCTTTTTCAAGGGTGACCTGCAAACATGGCGACAGCCAATGAGGACGAAGGCTCCGGTGGCAAAATGCGCTGGAATCCTCAGGTGCAGGGCCACTCGGACACGGAGTGGATGAAAGCCAGGATGAGACCCCTGCCCCCGCTGCCGCGTGACCGCAAAATGCTTGAATATCTGGATAAAATATTCAGGCTCGGGGCACAGATGGCGGCGGTCAGTAATCTTGGTGTGTTGGGAGTGTCGCTGATTACCCCTCAACAGGACACTCCCGCCCCCCCCGCCTGAGGGCAGGAGTGATTACTCGGACCTCTGCATTGGCCAGATGAATAATCTGGTCCACAGTATGGCTACCGCAGCCGGTCGTGTGATGTCCGTGGCCACCGTGGTGTTGCGTCACGTGTGACTAGGTCTGACCGCACTGGCCAAGAAAGACCGAGACGATCTCCTTGGGGCCCCCGTTACCACGGAAGGGCTCTTCGGATCGATATCCTCGGTCACCCGGCGCTTCAGTCGCCTGGAGGGAGAGAGGGCGCAGCTCAGCCGTATGCTGCCGCTGGCTCGCCCTCAGGCCTCTCCGCAAGGGAGAGAGCGCCCGGCGGTGGTAAGGCGGAGAGTGAGGCGCTGGTACAGAGCCCCCAGGGCGCCCTCTGCCTCCGTGGTCCGTCCCGAGGAACCGCCCCAGTACTGGACCTCACAGGGACAGGCTGACCGAACCCGGCGGGCTCCTGCTCCGGCCCCCGCTCCGGCTCTGCCTCAGAGAAGGGGTGCTGGGTGGGGTGCACCGTCCTCCAGGAATTGACTGGCGGCGGGAGGAAGCATCCCGGCGGAGAGAGGTGATTTCTCCGGCCAGGACGCGAGGGGGCGAATCCCGCCTCCTCCCTGTTTGATCCCACTGTGGCAAGGTCATCTTTTGTAAACAATAAAAGGGATTGCTTGTATTCCAGTCTGAGTGTCTTTTCTTTCCACACAGCCACATAATGTTGACCGTACAGATTCCCCACTCGCTGCCCAGGTTGTAACTCCAGTAAAGGACGCAGCTAGTGCACATGCACGGGTGAGAGTGATAAACCGCGCTATGTGGGTACAGGGACATTATGGCCGGCGTAGCAGTGTTAGGAAACATTTAACGCTGAGTGTAAAAACTCCGCTTGATGCATTTCACTGTTTGGGTGAAAGCATCATGGTGGAGCGCATGCTCCCACGAGAGTGCGGCGCATTCAAGGTCCTCAGTAGAGA